GAGGGCATCCCTCTGGGGTAGGAATGAGCAAGTCATGTGATGCCCCAAGCTCACCCCACTCCCTCCTGACCCCACCAGATCTGGCAGTTCGGCGAGTGGGTGGATGTGGTGATAGATGACCAACTACCCACCAAGGACGGGGAGCTCCTGTTTGTGCACTCGGCAGAGTGCACTGAGTTCTGGAGTGCTCTGCTGGAGAAGGCCTATGCCAAGTGGGTAACCCCGTGGCGAGCATGTGGATGGGTGGGGAACAGGGCATCTCACTGTGTGGGGTGGAGGGAAGGGGGTCTTTTCTATCCCTGGCCTTGCTTGGGCTGCATGCCTGGGGAGCAGCAGTGTGCTGCGTCCTTGTCACCTCACGCACCCCTCTCGCCATTGGCGCTCAGGCTGAATGGCTGCTACGAGTCGCTGTCGGGGGGCAGCACCACCGAGGGCTTTGAGGACTTCACCGGCGGTGTGGCAGAGATGTATGACCTCAAGCGGCCACCGCGCAACATGGCCCACATCATCCGCAAGGCGCTGGAGAGGGGGTCCCTGCTGGGCTGCTCCATCGACGTAAGTGGTGCGCCAGGATGAGCCAGGGGCTCTGCCCTAGCGATGGCCAAAGCGAGGCCTCACAGCCTGAGAGATCGTGTCAGCAGTCTCCTTGCTGGGATATCAGGCAGGAAGTTACTTCTTTCCCCTCTTAGTAGAGCACTCTTTCTGGCAGCCCCAGGGCACAGCGCGTGGGGATGCAGCCCAGCTGCTGGGAACAAGCTCCTTTGGATGGAGTGGGAATGTTCATCTCAAGCATGGGCTGTTGAACAAGGGTCTGCCTATAGCTCTGGCCATGTCTTATGTCAGCGTCTGAGAATTGTCTGGAGCAGGCTTTTCCATCCGTTCCCTCTCATGAAATCCTTTTCTTGTTTTCTGAAGTTTGAGTGATTACCTGATGGATCTTCATGGTCTTCTGGCTGGGAAACTGTCTTTACATTGTCCTCAGCCAGCAGCCTTTGAGCAAAGAGTGCTGGTACCTGCTGCTTCTCTTGGCTGGAGCAGTGAAAAGCAAGGGGAATTCTTCATGCAGTGGAGGGAAGGAGTAGGGATAGGACTACATGAATTTAATCATATTCACTTGAGCTTTGTTCATTCTCCTCAGATCACAAGTGCCTTTGATATGGAAGCGGTGACCTTCAAGAAGCTGGTGAAGGGCCACGCCTATTCTGTCACAGCCTTCAGAGACGTAAGCTGGCTATGTGAGACTTTAACAGCAATAAAATAGCCTTGCAGCAGCATGGGCTCAACCTCCTGTGTCTGGTGGTCGGCAGGTGAACTA